GAGTCTCTTCACTGTTCCTTATCTTATGCAGGACTGTACAATGCTCTTCACCCCCGCTACTGCTGCCTCAGAAGTATTTTTGTACTGCATAAAATGCGATAAGTTAAAGAATTCAATAAGAACAGAACTGTAAAGGAAAAGTAGCTCAAAGTGTGGCTCGTTTGCCTTCAAGAGCTTGACTTCTTCTCTTGTAAAAGGATTATATTTTACTCTTGAATCTCGTGAACACAAAGACGCACGTAGCCATGCGCACTGACATATAAAATGAATGATATAATTGGCAGAGATTATCTGTTAAGGGATAAAATCCTAAATTGAATAAAAATGAAAACATAGACCAACGTTTAAGGATTTGGGTTACTTCTCTTAACAAGATTGACATTTTAAAATGAAACCCCATGTCTTTACAATGTATCAGAGTCTATTAAGTTCAAACGAACGATTCGATTCAATCAAGACTAAAAAAAATGAGTATACGGATTTCAAAATTGATCTGCTCAAATGAGTCACCATTTTACAAAGCTATGTAAGGGATAAAATCTCATATCAAATAAAGATGAAAACATAAATCAACTTATAAATGTTAGGGTTACTTATCTTAATAAAGTTGGCATTTTAAGATGGAACCCTTATCGACCCACAAAACCGTTAACTTTCTTAGAGCCATTGACCTAACTTCAGACAAAATCTTATAAATTTAAAAAAGGAAAGCGGATATTACCCTAATGTGATATCCTTTGACAAGTATAATTCCCTTTAATCTTAAGAACCAAGCTAAATGGCTGGGGAGCTCAAATTCCAGCTTGCGATAAGAACACTAATACATCCATTGTACTTTTGCAGATTTTGGGAATCAACATCCAAAGCAAGTCTCTAAATACAATCATTGTTAACTAGAACAAGGTAATCGTGATTTATGGTTGTACTTGATCCATATAATCTAGTGGTTTATGACCTTAACTAAGTGGAAATCAAACCTGAGAGTGTGTGTGTTATGTTGCAGTGGAGTTGCCATATGTAGAACAGCTTCACACCCTTGAATTGCCAATGCAAACTGATCAGGATCGTATATATCTGCCTTAGAACAAGTTTAGCCTCATTTCAGCATGAGGAAGATCCTTGAGAAGTCGAACTTCTGAGGGTTCACCTGGAGTTCAATTTCACAGCAAACAAGTTGCATATGAGAGAAACGTTTGAT